GTTTCTTTCTCTTTTTTTTTTTTTTTTAAATACGGCAACTTTTAAGTCACAGAATTTACAGTGGATAAAAATCAAAAGACAAAAATTTCCTTACAAAGAATAAAATAAAGGCAGAAAGCTGCTAAGAGCTATCATGTTTTAAGTGCTTTAAATGAGACAAAACAGCTTCCTGTTGTTGCCAGAAGAGAAATGAGAAACTGGGGGGAAAGAATAAAAAGCAGTGAGTGTAATTGAAAAGTGCTAAGTTGGCCAAGGTGATACAGTTATTTCATAAATGTGCATCACAGCTCTGCATTTAAAAAAATCTTCTGACCCAGCTTTAAAGCTTTAATCGCTCAGATTTCACCCACTGGTAACTGATTACCTGTTATCTTCACTTAATGCTGACTGAGCTGTAACTGCCTGACTCCAAACACAGCCACCTGCCTGCCTTTGGTATATTTATACACAGAAAAACAAAAGGTTAGTGCTGCAAATGGAAAATAAAAAAAAAAATTAAAAAAAAAAAACAAAACAAAACAACACAAAAGGGGAAAAAGAAAAAGTCACCACAGCACAGGTTCTGCTTTCAGCAGAGTGAGGACAACACATCTCAAAAGGTCTCRAAATAGGCTAAAGCTGAGTTGATCTTACAATTATAGCGTAAACAATGCCTGGGTTGTGGTTATGTTGTTTGAAAAGAAAAAACAAAAAGAAAACCAAAAATCTCCAGAGACCTGTATCAACTTCTGTATGTTTAAGCCATACCCTTAAAAGTTCACTATTCACTCACAAAGAGAAGTAGACAAACATGAAGATTCCAAGCGAACAGACACAGACCAGTCCAGTATTTAGTAACAGTTTAACTTTTGGAGTCTCTTCCAGCATTTTTAAACAAACAGTCTCTTCCTCAACCTCCCGAACCACTCTCTTGCTTATGTTTTTACTTTTAAAACCACAGAACCAATCTATGAATTTCAAACGTCTCTCCCTGGTGTCAGTCTCCTCCTCTTCGTGCTTTTTCTCCCCCATCAGAGCCGCCTGTCCATTGGAATAACAATCCACGGGTGTCTCCACCTCGGAGTGGCTCAGCGACATCACCGGAGTGCTGTCATCCCTACACGTCACCAGGAGGTTGATGTCCTCTGGCTTCACGTTTTTAATGTTGTCCTCCGACTTCCCATTGGGAATGACGTGGCTGGAGCTCTCGTTGCGCTTGAGGACGCTCTTCTCCTGCACGCGGTACAGCTCCCCCTTGGCAACGGCCTGGGGCGCGCTCGGTTTCCTCAGCGCCCAGAAGGTGGTGGTGCGCACCTGCTCCTTGGTGGGCGGCGGCGTGAGCAGGCTCACCACCGCCGTCACGGCGCCCGTGATCCAGAACAGGCCTGTGGCCACGTACATGTAGTGGACGTTCTTGATGAAGCCGGGCCGCGTGTCGGGCTGGTCACACTCAGGGGCGCGGTAGAAGAAGGCCAGGATGAGGCGGACGGCGCCCAGGATGAAGCCGGCCATGCCGCCGTAGAAAGCTCCCTGCTCGTTGCAGCGCTTCCAGAAGATGGCCATGAGGAACAGGGCGGCCACCGGYGGGGTCAGGTAGTCTGCCACCTCCTGGATGTACAGGTACATCTGGCCGCCCTGCATCTCCACAATGATGGGCACCCAGGCAATGCTGATGACCACCATGAAGGCCACGAACACCCTGCCCACCACCATGAGCTCGCGCGAAGTGGCGCTCTTGCGGATGAGCTTGTAGACGTCGAGCGTGAAGATGGTGCTGGCGCTGTTGAAGATGGAGTCCAGGTCGCTCATRAGGGCAGCGATCATGACGGCCATCATGAGGCCACGCAGTCCCACAGGCACCAGCCGCATCACCAGGCGCGGGTAGGCGATGTTGGAGCAGCCGGCCCTGCTGCCACACACCTGGAAGCAGTGCTCGGGGTTGATGCAGGCGATGTCGTCCACGAACAGGATGCGGGAGATCATCCCCGGYACCACGATGATGAACATGGGCAGCAGCTTCAGGAAGCCGGCCATGAGGGTGGAGCCCTTGGCGTGAGCGATGTTTTTGGCGGCCAGGACTCTCTGCACTATGACTTGGTCAGCGCACCAGTACCACACYGAGGCCGGGGTCTGTCCCAGCAGAAATCCAGGCCAGGGAATGTCCTCGTCCGTCGGCTCACGCAGCATTTTCAGAGCGTCGGGCTTCGGGCTGACGTTGCAGGAGTTGGTGTTGGAGATGTTGTAGGTCAGGAGGATGGAGGTGACGTTTGGGGTCGCCAGCATGTACCTCCTTTTCACTTCTTCGAACCCCCCGACCTCCATCAGGCTTATGATCATGAGCGTGAGGGCCCCGATGATCATAAGCAGGGCTTGCAGAGTGTCCGTGTAGATGACGGCCACCAACCCCCCGGTGACAGTGAGCAGCGCCGTCATGCCGATCAGCAGGATCACCGACACATAGAGGTTCCACCCTAGGGACTCTTGGATAAAAAGTGCCCCCGAATACAAGTCAACCGAGAGTTTGGTGAAGATATAAAGAATTAGAGACAACGCTGCAAAATAGACTTGAATCCTATGCCCTCCAAACCGCTTGGACAAGTATTCGGGCATGGTGTACACTCCCGACCGGATGTAGACTGGCACGAAGACCCATCCCAAAAGCTGCAAAAGCATTAAGGCGTTGAACTCCCACGCGCCTACGGCGAATCCGCTCGCCGCTCCAGATCCTGCGAGCCCAATGAAATGTTCACTTCCAATATTGCTCACAAACAAYGAGGCCCCGATAGCTACCCAGGTCATAGAACGCCCTGCCAAAAAGTAGCCACTCACGGTGCTCCGATTGTTTTTCCACATGGCAAAGAAACCTATGCATATTACAAGCACGAAGTACAGGGCCACAATGGCAATGTCTGCTGGCTCCAAAGCAGCCCTCATTCTGTAACCAAAAAGCCTTCGCTGACGTCCACTTCTCGCCCCCCAGCCAACGTCTCTTAAGCACCGCGTGAACCAGTTTTAACCAAAATCAACACAGCGGGTCAAATTCTTTGTCCCTTGGTTTGCTGTCCTGATGCTGGTGGCAGTGGTACATTTACTTTTCTCCGCTTCTCAAATTTGGGAACTTAGCACGCACTTTTAATCCACATTCCACAAGAGCATCAGCCTTAACTCAGTTGATGTAGGAGAAATTCTTAGTTGCAGCTAAGTTTAGTGAGGCCTACTGTACCAACCCTGCAAGGCAGCAAAGACAAAAGACAAAGATTGAATTAGAGAGGAATTTCATGAAGTAATGAGAAAAAATTTGAAGTGTAGTAAAACAAATCACTGAACACCACAGATTTTTCCCCCTTTATATCTCCTGCAATCCAAACAGACATCATTAAATATTTGTAGGGCTAAGCGGTAAAAGCCTTTTACAAGTCAGCTTCAGTGGTTACAGGTACCTTCAGAGACGCAGCAATTCAGGAGCATTGAGTGACCCAAATAAGATCCCAAGAACAAGGCAAGCAACAAAAATACATTTCCTTTTTTTTTTACTCCGATGTCTCACAAGTCTCCTTCTCAAACYGTTAACCAGGTCTTCAAACAATCTTAGGAAAATAAAATTAAAGTAACTCAAGTGACAATCACTATGGAGCCCAGACCTGGCTCAGCATTTCCTGCACTGCACCCCCAAAATCCTGGGAGATGCTGACACCACAGGAAYGCACTTGAGACAGCAGCTGGCTGCCAAAAAACCCAAAGTGAGGTCACAGCATTGTCAGAAAGCAACATCCATGTCAAATCAGCTGGAGAAGCACGGTTATTCCATAGGTTTGGAGGTGAGTTTGCTCCTGTCTGGGGTACAGATAACCACAGGGTTATTTTTATTGGGAAAGCTCTCCATACACATCCCAGGTGATCCAAGGGGAGAAAACATCCCATTCCAGCAAATGGCAGAAGCAAAACTCTRCCTGACCTGCTGTTTTATGGCAGTGCCCTCGGATACTGACATCTGGGAGTTTGAGGGAGCACCACAGACACAGGAGGGAACACTGGGTGGGTTCTGGAAGCAAGGAAGGGCCCTTCCCAACATCCATCCGCATCCCAGCAGGGAGAGGTGGGAGGTGTGGAGGCAAAGAATCCCCTGCTGCTCTCTTCCCAAATTCCCAACCCCACCTGGCAGTCTCCCAAAGYACATCAGGAAACAACTCATTTGGGCACAGAGAACTGAAGCCCTGGGAGTGGAGGGAAGGGGACAATAAAGATTTGCTGGCAAGGARATCAGAGAGGAAGGGGCACTGAGGAGCTGCACGGGGCTCCCACCTCCCTCATGGATTTGGGATGGGCTCCTGTCTCCYGTTCCTGCCTTGGGAGGTACCACAAATCATGGAATGGTTTGGGATGGAGGGACATTAAAGCCCACCCAGGGACACCTCCCACTATCCCAGGCTGCYCCCAGCCCCAATGTCCAGCCTGGCCTTGGGCACTCARAGGGATCCAGGGGCGGCCRCAGCTTCTCTGGGCACCCTGTGCCAGGGCYACATTTACCCAAAAGCTTTTTATGTGTTTAGAGAGAGCAGGACTCTTCTATTTCCTGCACCCAATGGCCATGGGAAGGGACGACTGAAGGAAAGAACAGGTTTAGTCTAAATATCAGAATACAAACCTTTAGCAGCAATAATGAGATTATTACAGAAGGTGAGGAATGGGGTCTGACTCCACTCCCCTTTCCTACYCACTGGTAAAGGCACAAAAAACCAACAATGGGTCTGTTTTTGGACCATAGTCTCACAGGTCCTACAAGCYTCAGCTCCAGGCACTCCCCTTCCAGTTCATTCTCTGGCATGGGGCCAAAGCTCCCATTTCCCCATTAATTAATGATTAATGCAAACAGCCTGATAACATATTCTAATATTTGGCTGGTTTCTTGTTTAGCATCTCTGTCATATATTGGGTTTGTTTAAAGGGTCAATAAAACCATTTCACATTCCCAGAGAGCTAAGGTTGAAAATGCACATGTGTTGAAGGCAGCAATGGTGCTGAGGTGAAAACGTGCAACTCCTCACAGATTTCAAAAATAGCTCCAAGCAAACCATAACTTCAGCCTTAAGGAGAAACCCACCATMGTGCCTTTTGTATGATCCAACTGTTTTTCAGGAGAAAATGTAAAAAAAAAAAAAAATAATGAGGGTTCCCCCCCAGCACCACAAACCCACTTGAGAATAGAGATATTCCTTCTGCTGGAATTACAGCCAATAATGAGAGACTTAGGAGACATGGCACAAAACGGACTGATTACTGCACTGGGCTAAATTTATCATTCCTCAGAAGCCTCAAACCACAGATGTATTTTCAATTCTYCCACAGAAGAATTCACATTTCTCCCCACCCGCAAATACAGGAGTAGTTAAACGGTCTAATAGCTTAATCCAACCCCAAATTATAAACACTTCACATCAGATGACGCAATCAGAGCCAAGTTTAATGGACTATTCTTAGTTTTAAGCACTTTGGAGCAACACTTTAATAGTGTTGTGTCTTTTGCTGTATTCAGCTAAATTTTCAACTACATTATGTTTACACCAAAACTATAAATATTTGAAGGGAAAGGGAAGAAGAGATTTTACTCAGGCATGATAAAAAGAAGAAAAAATACTATACAGAACACCAGAAGAACAAGCAAGATAAAGAAATGGTAATTATTGATATTTTCCCTCTTCTGTTGTCCTTATTACTGAAAAATGTTCGATTTCAACTTGAGTTCACCTCCTACAATTTCCCTGTAGGTTCATCAATGACCTTTCAAAAATATCCTATGGAGCAATATGGAGAACTCACCAAAATGTTAAAATGAATTCTATTTGATAGCAGAAGTTCCAGCTCATAGTGTTCCTATAAACAGGATGTTAACAGGGAACCTGTGGCTGCRCCATCCCTGGGAGTGCCCACAGMCAGGTTCAACAGGGCTTGGAGCAACCAGGGATAATGGAAAGTGTCCCTGCCCTGGGGGTGGGACTGGATGGGCTTTAAGRTCCCTGGGAATCCAAAGCTTCTGTAATTCCAGATAAGTGGGTCAGTACACATGCAGCTGTTCTCAAAYAAATTGTGACATTCCTCAATTAAGTCACTCCAGCTCCAAGGGGCTCCTTCCAACCAAAATAAACATGTGAAGCTCCTGGAGCATTTTCCATAGGAAGATGCAGCCAGACCATGCACCTGAAATAATCAAATGGCAGAGAGCTGAACCCTGCCCTTTGTCACCAAAACCTGAGGGTTTTTTGCCCGAGCTGGAAGGTGGAAAGTTTTCATCAGCCACCACAAATCTGCTGCACTGTCACTAAATTACAACACTGAAGTAGCTTCTTGTACCAGTTTCTTAGACCTAATTCCAAAATAACCCTGGAACTTTTCCTCATTAGGAAAATGAGACTCGTCCCTCTGAACTTTCAGCAAGTTCTGACCTCAAGTCTTACAAAGGACTTTTGAGATGCCCCATGTGAGTTTAATCCTGAGTTATTAGAACAGTGAACATTGTGGCACTGACAGAGGGGGGAAAAAAAAAGACAGAAAGACAGTGCTGCTGCCAAGGACTGGGAATTTTCTTCCCTGAGGCTGTTTTCTGGCTGGATTATATCAAAGACACAAAACAATGTGCTTCCCTCTTGTCTGGAGATAGAGGCTGCAGCTCTGGTGAAACAATGCATATGTCTCTCCAACACCCAGCCTGTTCCTTAAGGGGAAAAAAAAACCCCAAGCAAGTCCCTGAAGAGAGATTTCATAATGTGAAGCAGACCCAGGGTGGGATTTTGAKGAGAAATTTGTATGATTGTTCTAAAGGAAAACTTTCTCCACAGTGCTTTGCTAATAAAATGGGTGTTTAAAACATGCCAGATCCCAACTGCTCCAGCCCTGAAGCCACGATTTGTTCTCAGCTCAGTCGGCTTCTCGGCAGATGGAAGTTTCTGAGCTGACTTCCCTTTTCTCCTCACCAATCTCAAGGTTTTAAGGGTTAATTTGGAGATGCAGATGCCCACCTATCCCACAGGAGTGTCCATTGCTACCACTGTTAGTAAATTACATATTTTGTTCACAGATTTCCAAGTAGCTTTGAGGACCCTTGGAAACAACATTTTCCCTCTCCACCCTGAAGCAGGAGTATTTGAACTCACCCTGAAGCAGGAGTATTTGAACTCAGACCTGTAGCATTTACCTACTGAACAGCTCTGCTGTGTGTTAGAAATCTGTCCAGATTGCCAGGATTGTGCTCACAGAAAAAGCAATAAATAACACAAGTCTCATGCCTTTAGCAGGGTCTGTACCATGTCCAACCCCTGGAGTGTGTTTTCCAGACTCCTCACACTCCTGCCACGGACACATCAGTGAGTTCCTACCTGCCCACTGCTCCACAATAAACACGGGGCAGCCTCAGGGGAAAAAAAAGTCTCAGAAAAAAAAAAAAAAAAAAAAAAAAAAAAAGTACAACTTTAAGATTGCATTAGTTACTCTTAAAAAGAAAAAAAAAAAAAAAAAAAAAAAAAAAAAAAAAAAAGGAGGAAAAGCTTTGTTCCATTTACTGCAGCACTCCAGAACACAGAAAAGGAACACTGAAGCTCTTCCTGGAGTAAGTGATACATAAATTATCTAGTACATGCCCTTGAGGAAGCAGGGGCCATCCTTGGCTACCCTCAGCATCCAGGGCAGCAGTTCCAGGCTTTTCCTTGAAAACCAGGAGCTGGGGCAGAGGAATGTGCCAGGAACTCCCTGGGACAGACAGAGGAAGCAGAGGCTGACCTGGAGCATCCAATAAATAACTGGAGCTGCTGGGGATGCCAGGCCAGACCTGGACTCAAGAGGCTGCAGCAGGACAAGGCCACATTTCCAAGTCACCTGAGCCAACCTGGCGAAACCTGCTGGTCACTCTGCGCAGTCACCACTCCTGCTGGCCTGGACAACACAGGASCCAGCTCCAGAAATCATCACTACCAAAAAAATCCCATTTGAGGTGCAAGGACCAAGTCACTCACTCAAGGGAGTTGTTATGAACACGTAATGAACTTTTGTTTTGCTCAGGAATCACTCCAGCTCTGGTCTTCATTTTACTGCAGCATCAGAACAAAGCAGCTTGTTCCACCAGAAATTCTTCTTGGTTCTTTTCTACACAACTGCTGAGAGAGACATGAGAGAARTAAGTAACCCCAGAGCAAATAAACAGAGAACTCACTGCATTTGCCTGTCAAAAATGGGATGCCCAGTGGACAATTACAGAGCAGAAACTGGAGTGATGCAAGGCCAACTGGAGCTCAAGGGCACTGGGACTCACACTGTTAGGGCAGAACATCATTTAATTGTCATTTCGGGTTTTTTTTTAACCATTTTCCCCCCTCAATCCAAGCAAATACACCTAYTGCAGTGTCCCACCAAGTCACAAATGAAGGAGGGGGGAGAAGGCAGAGGAAAGACACCCCAGCACTCRGGAAGTGRAGAAGCTCCACTTGTGCAAATCAARAAAAGATGGATTTTTCCTGAATCTGCATCACCCTCYCCAAGCCACTTCATGCCACTGCCTGTGACATTCACACTTGGCTGCTTCCCTTTGCCAAGAGCCAGTCCCCAGCACTCCAGCAGGAACAAGGAACTGATTTGCTTCCAGTGTTCTTCCCAAAACTCTAAACACCGACAGGGGAAGGGGGGTGAGCTGGGGACAGAAGCAAGGARATATAAAAGGACTTTGTATCTGTTAAAATGCAGATATCAGAAAGAAATTCTGTCTTCTCCAGGCCCACCCAGACATGACGAAGCAGCTTTTCCAGGTCTTGAGATTAATCCATCACTTAGTAATTTAAAGAAAAGAAGGAGTTAATAACTTCCTTTTCCCCTTGTCAGTCCAAAGAATTGGCTTATGTTTCTGTGGGTGACAAATGYTATCTGGAGGAATTTCTTCATGGAAAGGAAATGGAAGGGGCTGCCCAGGGAGCTTTGGAGTCCCCATCCCTGGAGGTGTCCCAGGAAGGGCTGGAGGTGGCACTGAGTGCTCTGGGCTGGGGACAAGGTGGGCATTGGGCACAGCTGGGACTCCCTGGGCTGGGAGCTGAATGACCCTGGAACTTTGTGAGGGGAGCACAAACTGCTGAGGAACGGGGCCACTGTTCCCTGGGAAATGAGCAGAACCYTTCACACCTGTGCTGCAGCTCCAGCAGGGCCCTCCTGAGCTCAGGGTGTCACCACAAACTCAGCCCCAGCAAGTAAACAGAGAGGTGCCGTTCCTCCCTGCACAGGACACAGGTCTTTTCCACAGGAACTGACAGCAAAAGGGGCACAGACAACCCCACAGCCACGGGGGCAGCAGCAAAGCCAAGGGCACCAGGGGCAAACAGCAAAAGCCAGAAATGTTCAAGCAAGTGGGAAGGGGCTGGCAGAAATGGGAAGGTTCTGGCATCACACAGCACCAGGCAGGATCTCACTCCAGGTCACACTGCATTGCAAGCTGCAGAGGGACACTGAGCACCAAGGCTCAAATCCCTTCTTCTGGCAACCCAAAAACCAGAAGCACAAACATTTCACTGCCATGGCAGGAAGGAGATGAAGTACCTGATCACAAGTACCTGATCACCAGAGCAGCAGCAAGAGAGTGGGTCAGTCATACCAAAAAAATCCAAGTATTTGATTTCTGGAGTGGATTTGGGACCACTTCAGTTCTCTGGACAAGTTATCACCTTATCAGAAGCAAATATCAGAAATGCTGCAAAATCTCTGCCACTATTGAAGATGCCCCTTTAGCTCAGCTGGAGGTTCAAAGATGTGATCCAGATGGTGGTTATCACCAGGCAGCAGGAACTGCATAATCCCAGCCTAAAAATTTTGCTGCTTCATCCAGTTTGAGGGGGATTTTGGCTGGGAGGGTGCAGAAGTTACTTGGAAAATGAAAAAGAAACAGTGGCAGTGTCAGTCCCCATGAAACTGGGCAAAACACCAGGAGGAAATGCTTCTGCAAATTTCTAGGAAGAACAAAAAAAACAGACTCATTAAGCTTCTTCAGGACTTCCCCAAATTCCTATCACATTTATGGCTGCCCAAATCTTTGGAGGAATATAAAGCATCACAAAGATTATTGAAAGACAAGACAGAAGTTCAGGAACAAAGATAATCCAAGAATTTAGGATTGAGGCTCTCCAAACTCAGCTGGGTGCTGTTGCAAGAATTCTGATCCTTCTTGGAGATTTCAAGGCACCAAAACAAGGCTTCAATAAAGTTCAGTTAGTTAAAGACAATTAATGCCAATTACACAGCTTGATGCACAATATCTGTATTAAAAGCTACCAAATACTGATTTATTTTTCTAAAACACCAATTCCACTGAACATGCTCCCTCCCTGTATCCATCCTCTGCATAGACCTGGCTTTTTGTCATTCCATAGACATCTGCAGAACTGAACACCAGGACTGGCTTGCAGGTGGACAACCCGGGATTAAAAAATAGCAGAACAACAGTTCTTCTGCAGTTCCTCATTCCTGTTTCTTGGGTTCACGACCCTCCTTTTACATCCACTTCCTTCCCGCCCTTCTCTCCTCCCCAGGGTGATGTATTTTTCGGAGAATCTCATTTTTAGCACCAATATTTGAACCAGTACTGCCACAGGACAGGTCCCTCACTTCTATCTTACTTTCCACGTATTTACTTCCTATTTTTCTTGTCCTACATAATTAGATATATTTTGCATCTCTCTGTGTGCTGCTATTTTCCCCTGTTTTCACCTTTTTATCAGCTCCTCACTGCACACTGAGGATATTCCTAATGCTGCACAGGAATTTTTCTAGGGAATAACCCAGTGCCCAGAGGTTTCTGCTGCTCTCAAGCAATGGACACAGAGGGTGGGATTTGAAGCTCCATCAAGCAGCTGCTTCCACATAAACAGCTCTTCCATCACCCCAGATTTGCAGCTGGGACATGTGGGTGCCTGTGGCTCCAGGAATTACAAGCCTGTCATGGATAGAGCCTRACAAATCATACAATCAYGGAATGGTTGAGACTGAAGGGACCTTAAAGCTCCTCCATGGGCAGGGACACCTCCCATTGTCCCAGGCTGCTCCAAGATCCAGTTTCCAACCTGGCCTTGAACACTGCCAGGGACCCAGGAGCAGCCACAGCTTCTCTGGGCAAAGAAAAAAAAGGGAAGATAAATTATTTGAGCAAAAACTTAAAGCAATTTTTGTGTGGAAATTACGGTTCTGGGATAAGGGAACTGGAGAAAACAGCTYCTGAAAGAACACACAGAGAAAACCAGAACTTCCATCATTCCAAAGGAAGGAATGTATGAATATTAGGGGACAAGAAACACAAACACACATGGGCTGAATGAGCAGCTCTTTGTCACTGATATAATTAATGGACAACTTTTACAGGAGTCAGTCACATCTGAGGAGTTTCCAACAATGGGAAGCAATAATGCTGCTTTAGTACAAYAGGTTCTCCTGCCTTCTCTTCCAAGAGTTCAGGGACAGGATCTGCTCCATGCTGAAGTTCAACAGCTCCCAGTTCCCAKAGCCAGAGAACACAGCAGGAACAAAACCCAACCAGGAGCAAAGAGCTCATTGCTGAGGAGGTACCAGGGGCAGACAAGAGAAGTTTTATCTCAAAAGTGAAGCCTCACTGCTGCTCCCTGAAGGGGGACTGGCCAAATCCCACTGAAATCCCACCAGGGGCTGCAAGAAACTGAAATTATTTTGTAGGAGAGAAGAATCTTCTATGTCCCCTCAGCCCCAGGCACATATCCCACACTTGGCAAAAATTCAGGCTCCTCCAAGACTGAAAATGGCAAACATCAGGGAAGTGGTTATCATTCCCAAATGCTGTCCAYATGCTCTTCAAAATCCAGTTCTTCTTACGGAATGCTCGAGGCAGAAAACAAAAAGGGGACTCCCCCAGCAGAGTCAATGCTGGATCTTGTTTTCTAATCATGTGCTTCAGTTCCTTTGGTCTCCTTTCCAGCACCACCCCCAGCTCCAGGCTCCCTCCCTGCCAGGCTGAAGAGCCTGTTGCAGCCTCCTAAAAATGCCAGTGGGAACAGAGGAAAAAACTTTTGTGTAATTTTAACCTGCTCAGCTGGGAAGAGGGGTGGGGAAGATGCACAATTCCATTAGAAGAACAGGTGGTTCACCAGAAAGAAAATAAAATAAACCCAGTATCTTCCTGCTTCATTCTCCCCCCTCCTTCCTGGCAACTGAGACATCAAAAGCCCAATTGCTGCAGCTGCCTACACAGCAATTAAGTGGAATAGTCAAGATGTCAAGCAACACTACTGCCCATTTACTTTGGCTTTCCCAGAATAGCCAACAATCTCCACACAGCAGGTAGGGAATTTTGGAAACATGGCAACCCACTCCAAAAGCAACAAACAGCTGCTGAAGGCAAGTTGTGTTGCTAGAACATGGCTGTGGAAATGAGAGCCCACATTCACTGCAGGATTATTATTAATAATATTATTTGGAGGTGTCCAAGGCCAGGTTGGACACTGGGGCTTGGAGCAAGCTGGGATAGTGGAAGGTGTCCCTGCCCACAGCAGGGGGTGGAACGAGGTGATTTTTAAGGCCCCTTCCAACCCAAACTAATTACAGAAGTGGATGGATGGGTCTTCTAGGCCAGGTATTTGCTGAAAAAAAAAGCCAATTAGGTTTTAGACTATGACATTGTGTATTTGAAATTTGTTTGTTACAGGTGAAGTGACGGAGATGAGCACACTGCTAATAAAACACTGATAAAATATGGACAAACTTCCCCATTTTTAGTTAAATACTCTGAGGTATTTACAAAGTGCCCATTCAGTTCCAGCTGCAAAGTGGGGCTGTTGAGCACAGGTGTCCCTGTGCTTTGCTCTGGGTGACAAGGTGGGGATTAGCCACAGACTGGACTCAATCCTGGAGCTCTTTTCCAAGCTCAAGGACTGTGGGATTGCCACACTACGTCCAGTGCCTCAGAGGCCTGGCATTGCMACCCCCTGGTCACTGTCCAGAGGATCCTTGGAGCAGCAGGAAGCCATTTCCAGCTCTTCCTTCCTTCCCCTTCCCTGGGCTCCCGGGCCGTTTCAGCAGGAGGAGGAAGCCTCCCTGCAGAGCTCCCCTCTCCCACGCAGCGAGAATTCCTGAAGATTCACTCAGGTGGATTCACTGCCCTTCCCTGCCGAAGGTGCTGCCCTGCTACAATCCCTTACTGACAGCCACGGATGACTCTCCTGGGAGAAAATCAGGAATCATTAGAAACTCCTTCTGTCCAGGGAATTCAGGCCATGGACAGCTGTGCCTTCATCTGCCCCTTGGCTGGGGCTGCTGAGGGCAGCTAACGTTTTGTCTGCAAACACCAGGACATGGCTGATAACAAATCTGCCACCCAACTCCCCCAGCTCCCCTCAGCATCTGTTCTTTCCATGCTGCAGTGTGGAAAGCAGCACATTTGGGCAAAATGCATCATTTCACTGAGCTCTTTCTTTGCCCAAAGCATCACCTCCACAAACTCACACATAAGCAAGGCCCTCACCCTACAAATACACCAGAGTAGTGGGGGAGTTATTTGGTTTGGGGGGGCTTTTAGGGCTTTTATTATTGTTTTCCTAAGAGTCACTAACTGGGGTCTCTGCTGAGGAAAGATTGCATATATACATACATACAGTATATAAAATGTGTTTTAGTATATAAAAAATAGTGTTTTAGTCCAAGTCCATCACCTCTCACAATTCAGGACAGGGAAGAGCTGCTCAGCTTTGACTTCAGAATAAAATCCCGACTTTTTGTGGAAAATACATGCAGACAAGCAGTGACAAGGGCTGGAAAGAGAAACCAGTGCAAAGTGAAAGTTTTCCCTAATGCCCCCACCAGCCCCAAAGCTCTGGAGGTTGTGTTTCTAAGGCACAAAAGGAGAAATGAAGAGGCTCTGGAGTCTGCCAAGCCTGAGGAGAGCATCGGGCAGGATGGATGGGATGTGCTGGCCCCAGGACCCTCCCAACGGACTACAAACCAAAAAAAGCAGGAAAAGAACAGGAAGGGATCCCTGACTTGGACATGAGCAGGGCTAAGGAGCAACAGGGTTTAAAGTAACAAAAACAAACTGGAGGGACTTATTCTGCCTGGGTCTCCAAGAATGCTAAGGGAACTATTAAAAGAAAGCTGTGGGTGGGGAAAACCCCAAAGAAACAACAAGTTTGCCTCTGAGAGGCAGGAAAGTGTTCCAGGCTGAGGTTGGCACCAAGTTGCCAGGGAGCTCCAAGAAGTTCAGGACAAGCCCTAGAGCACAGGGAAGCCAAGACAAAGGTTTGCTGGTTTTGGAGGGCAGGGGAGCTGCCACAGGTGAGGAAGGACATCACAGACATCAAGAAAAGGGTCAACATTTGCTGAGACACCACCAGGACACGCAGCCACCACAGAGGGACTGACAGGGCAGGACAGGGAACATCTGCCCAGGTCATTTTACTTCACCAGTGTGGAAAAGCAATGGCATTCATTCCTCTACAGGAAGGAGTTAGGAATCATTCCACTATTTCAGACTGGCTAATATTATTAGACCCATATTTAATATATAAGACTCATTAAATTCAGTATTACAGCCAGGATTATGCACAGCTTACAGGGGTCATTAGAGCAAACCCCCTCTTCCAGGATCCAGCAGCACCACGGAGCATAAAACCACCAGAGAAAATATGTCCAAGTGTTCTTATGGCACAAGAAAGGCAGGAGTAGCAAAATATTGGGACACTAAAGAGCACCCAGATCTGGTGTACTGAAAACCACACAAAAATAGCAGCACTTACAGACAGACTGTAAATTTTAGAGTTACAACAAGGGTGGGTTAAAAACACCAGCACAAACTGAAATGTTTGGACATAATCACAGAGCTTAAAAAAAAAAAAAAAACCCAAAATCTTAAAGGTACCTCCATCTGGAAAGAACAGGCAGGAGAGTCCAACTTCAAAGATGCAAAGGTTGCAGATGTTAAATCCCGAGCGCGCTGATGCTCATTAGAAGCATCTTACAGCTAAAAGCTTATCCCTGAATCTCTGTGCTCAGATCCTAGAAACCAAAGAGCCTTTCCAGCAGAGAGCACTCCATGGCATCCTTTCAGAGAAGTCAGTTTAGTCCTGCCTCAGTATTACGGCAGATTTGCTATGCTTCCTGTCCTGCCCTGCGTGCTGAGTGCTTACCCAGTTTAAAGCATCTCCCACATCAACRGCACAGCTGTAAAAAGCATCTCTGCCTTATCCACCCATGGGAAGGGGTGTGCAAAAGAAAAAAAAAAATCGGAAAAATATTTCATGTTGACAAGCAGGTGGAAAAGCAGTGTTTTTTGCCCGGGTGAGCTGGTGCAGCAATGTCACCCGCCTTTCTCCCTGCTGCTATATTTCTCCACTAGAGGACCCAGGTGAGATGTCTCTACTACAGCTTCTGCAGCTAAACCACGGGGAAAAAATACATTATAAAAAAAAAAAAAAAAGCCAGCCCCGACATGTGGATGGTCCATGCAAAATGAATGGAAATGTACTAGTGCATGCGGCACACCAGACGTGCTCCCGTAATTCCCAAAAAAACACGGCCACGCTGCTGGGCTCCTGCTGCTCGGTGGGAAAGGGTGCTGGTGGGAATGAAGGGTAAATCCCAGAGTATCTACGCCGAGCTGGATCAGAGGGCTCCAGCCCAGCACAAGTGCTGCTACATTCCAACACCAGCACTGCGTTTTAAGCTGGAAAGCAGCAGATAAACAAAGGCTATAGAAGGTACTAGAGAAGGGCCAGCATCAGATGTTATTTACCAAATAAACCTCGCATCCACACGGAGATGGCCCTATTTTATTATTATTTGTACGCACACGCACACACATCCCCCACTCCCCCCCCCCACGTATTGACTCAGCTCCTGCCGAATGGGAAGAGCATCATTTAACGGAGCTCTGTTATCACCGCGCTGCCAAAAAACAGCGGCAACGGCTGCTGCCACCCCCAGCGCCCCTTCCCGGGGGCGATAGGGCCCAGCCTATCGGCCCCGCTCAACTGGTGTGGGCAAAACCCCATCCTTGGCACTTCCCTGGCACACGGRGGGGAGGGGGGGAAGGTGCCATCCCGCACTTGGGAGCTGGCTGGAGAAAATCCTCGCTTTTCCCCTTTTCCCTTGCTCCAAGGCTTTCCGGAGCCGAGGGGAGGCGAGGAGGTGCCCGGTGATGCCAGCGCAGGTGCGGGGAGGGGGATGGAGAGCGCTGGTGCTGCAGAGGGAGAGGGGGATGCGCTGGCAGGGGCACACCTGCTCCGAAAGGGCCGGGCTCACCTGCTCCAGACAGGGAGGGAGCGATGGAGAAGGAAAACCGCATCTCTTTGGCTCGGGAAGCGTGGGATCTGCTTACCTGCGGACCAGAGGGGAGGGGGAGAGGGGACTGCGGCTCGGGGGGAGCGGCGCAGCCAAGGCTCCAAGGGCGCGGGCAGGGAAGGGGCGATGGGCTCGGGGCCGGAGCGCGGAGGGAGCCCCGCGGAGCCGAGGACACGCTGCCACACTGCGGGCGACAGGGCCGGCCGGGCCACGCGGTGCGGCGGGGACAGCGGGCACCGAGGGGACACCGCGGCGACACCACGGGCCAAGGGGGGGTCTGCCAGTCCCACCTGCCTCCCTCCCTTCCTCCCGTCTCCTGTCCCTCACTCACCCTCTGCATGGCTTTCACGATCAAAGCCAGTTCATAGCGGGGCATCTTAGAGCTGGCAGTGGCGGGAGGAGCAGGGCACGGGGTGGGGAGGAGGGGGCTGCGGCGAGGCCGGAGAGGAGRAGCAGGGGGACAGAAGGAGGAGAAGAAGGAGAAGGAAGAGGAAGGCGCGTCCCGGCGCTGTGGCAGCTCCTTCCCGCTCGGCTCCCGCGGCACAGACACCCGTGCGGGCAGGGGCGGCGCGGCTTAAAGGGCGCAGGAGCTGCGCACGCTCGACCGGGCCGGGCCTGCCAGCGCCAAGCGCCGCCCCCGCCGGGCCGTGCCG